TGAGTAAACGACCCGAAATGGAAATTGGGTATGCACTTTTGATAGGTCTTCAACACAATGGAACTCTCACTGGGGACTTAAAGCTGAAGCAATGGGAAACCCCCCTTAAGCACGCCTCGTTGTGTAGGGGGTGGGGCCTGGCATATGGGATAGGGGGTCACCAGTCAGTCGGTAGATGCATCTGGACCACAGAGCGTAGCCTGACCAGTCAGGCAGAAGATCAGCTGCAGGGCAGTTGTAATCGAAAAATCAAGTGCTAGGCGGGTCATTCGTAATTTGTTGTCCTGCAAGCAAAACGCCTTTAGTCAAGTGCCATGGGCAGTGCGCCCGGCAGCCAATCTATCTAACTGTGGGCATTTTATTTATGCAAAAGTAGCATTTTTGCCTGCCAAGCACCAATTTAAAGTTCCAGCACCAGACCGAGAGTGGGGAGACATTTGTAAGACAGGCAAACGAGCAGCCAACCGTTCGACCGACAACTTCGTCGTTACAGATGCCCTCGTCGTCCACAGTCATTGTCGTCGTCGTCGTCGACGCATAGCTGGTTTACTGCTGGGACAACTGGGACAGCTGGTCAAAATTAACAAGTTCCAGCGCATGTCTGGACTCTAGACTCTGCGGACTCCGGTCTGAGGACTGAGGACTGTGGACTCGGAGAGTGCCTACGAATCTTGTTTCGCATTTTGTATGTGAGCATTCGGTTGGGGTGTCTTCTTCTCTATGGGTCTATGTCAGAACATAAGCAATTTGTTGCAAACTTTCCTACAGCTGGCTTTGTTGTGTTTTAGCCCAGTGCAAAGTGTGTGAGCGATGACCGAGAAGTTGGAAGCTGGAAGCGGGAAGCGGAAAGCGGAAAGCAGACGGAGGGAATGCGACGAGCCTGCCCGCAGAACTTTGGATCCTGGTGCGTGTGTCAAGCAACAATGGCCTAGCCGCCTTTTGGGCCAACATCTGGGCCTGTGTCCGGGGCGTGGGCAAAGAGCTCGCTTCGTTTAACTTTCACTCGTCGCCCCACGTCTCAGCCGCACTTGCGGCACGGTCTTCCCCACTCAACGCTTCGCTTTCTCTCGCCTCCCTTTTGCCCTGTACTCCACTCCGCTCCGTATTTTCGTGCCCGGTGCCTGGTTGGTAGAAAACTTTTTAAAAGATCTTACGTTTTTGTTGTTTTGTAAAATTGATGAAGTAATTTGTTTGGTGATTGCACAAACTTTGCGTGTCAATATTTTTCAAAAACACCCAAGTTTGCCTAAGTTTTCTGTGTGCGAGTGTGCAAGTGTGTGCCACACACACACATAGAGCCCCGTGTAGACGGCCACTGGATTTGCCTCGACAGCACAAAAACTCTTCCGAATGCCCAGGAGCAGTTGCCAGCAGTAGCTTCCGCTGCAGCCACGGCACCAGCGTCCGCCCAATAAGTCGTTTGCATTGTTAATGATTCAAATTTGTGGTAAGTGCCCTGAAATCGACTACAAAATGTGCATCTGGTCAAGCAAAGTGGCTCTCGGGTGTGGCTAGCTAACCTATTTTGACAACCAATTTGCTTCGGACGCTCTCGCTCAGTGCTTATCTATTCTATCCAAGTCAGAAGCTGCTGCACGAGAAGAACGGCGAAGAATGCTTCCTAATTGACTTCGTTATAAAAATTAATCAACTTTAGACACGGCAAGATTGTTCCCAGTTGTCAAGTAAAAATCCTTCGAATGGGGAGGTCACACGGCTCACTTCACTGCAGTTCACTTCATTCTCAATTTGTGAATCTCAGATGGGATACAATTGGGCCTACAATTGTAATGTAAGCCCGGCGCTTAAGTGGATGTTTATGAAGTATTTATCAGGGATATCAATATGTCTGCCAACTGTTAGCCTGACGGTCTAGTTTTAATGCTTCCGCTCAGCCTGAACTTATTGTAAAATGTTCTTATTTATTCGCTAGTTTAAGCCATCCACAAACAAACACACACCAAGGCACACGCACACAAACACACGCTTCCTCCATAGCCGCATCCACAGCCAGTCAATACGGCAAAGTACGATTGAAATTGAATAAAATGGCTTTTCAAATTATTTGCGATACAACAAAGCGCCATGTGGCAGAAAAGCTTATCTGCGGAAAATGTTAACTGTATGACAAAACATAACTTGTAGATATGCAAAACCCTAAAGGAGACACACACGCACACATTTACAATTGTATGTCATTTGTAGGCACATCTACGAGGGTAGCTAGAAACGTTCTCGATACCTTCAGAATTTAGTTTCCACCAGTCATCTCCCCTATAACATTCACATAAATATAGTTTAAATTATATATGGATTATTTATTATTCAGATCTGCTTTGATTTTAATCTTTATATAACTTTATAAGTTTTCCTTTAGAACACAGATTTGTCTAAGGGCCCTCGTATTTATAGGCTATATGTATATTTGTATGTTTGTATGCAAAGGCACAGCAGTCAAGACGCATATGTATTCATGTATATGTTTGTGTGTGTGTGACACGCACACATGCGTACTTCAATACGAAATATATAAAAAACAAACAACAACTTTAGCGCTGAAAATAGAATACAAACAACACAATACGACTGAAGCACGCCAATGCGCGGCTTTTATAGAGCGGGCTGTGGTGTGGGAGTGGCTGCGGCTATGTGTGGGTGTGCGTGTGTGTGTGAATGTGAATAGGTGGTGGGGTGGGGCATGAATGTACATTCATGCAAAGGGAGCCTCGGTATCGATTTATGCATATTAAATTACACGAGCTGCCTCACAACAATACGCAGTTGTATCCAAATGGGAAGCATTGCGTTGCCTCCTACTGCCTGCTGCCTCCTGCGTGATGCCTGCCGCGTGCTGCTCCTTTGAAAATATTTATACACTTTTCTCATACGCGCCGCCTAAATTCCCGACATCTAAATTGGCGGCTACGCTGATTGCCGCCAGAAAGTAAGCCGCCAACCGCCCAACCACCCAACCACCCCGTTATTATCCATACGATCCCACACTAGCGACCAATTTATAAACGTTTGGTTCTTCGTCTTATCTTTGGCAGGTTCTTCTTTTCGCTCTTTTTTTATTATGGCAACTGAGCTAACGCCCCCATTTGTGTGTCCATTTAGTCGGCGTCTGCGTGTGTGTGTATGTGTATGTGTTTCCGCATATCCGATAAACTTCGACGTTAGCAGCTGGTGCCTCACGTGGGGCTGGATTGACTTTTGGCACTCAAGGCTGGCCCCCAGCTTTATCGAACCGCCTCCTTCAGAGCCCAAGAAGCGTAACAATTGGTTTTCAATGCAAAAACTTACTATACCCTTACACCTTGCTCTGTCCTTTTAAGAGTACTTTCAACATCTGCATACTGTTTGGTCTTTTTTCAATATATTCTGCTCTGCTGTGTGTATTCCATAATCTATTTTGTCCTCCATAATCTATAATCCTGAGTAGTCTCCAGTTTGCACTCAGTACTCTCGGCTTACTCCACTCAACCCCCTAGCAATGAGCAATGGCTGCTCCGTCGGCAATCAGGATATTACAAAGAAATGACTGACATAACTAACGCACTTTTTATTTTTCTCCTTTTCCGACAATTGGATATGAATATGGAATAAGCAGCGAAGGTAGCTCTACATAAACATGCATACACATACATACATACATATTATACACACATACATATACGTATATGTATGTACATATGGCCAAGTCCTTCGAACGGACATTGTGGGTCAGGGAGGCTGTCACGCTCTGCAATATTAATGCGCTCGAGTTTGAGCCGTCCGCCCACAAAGTTAACGCCAAGAAAAGCATCCAAAGTGCCAGCCGCTCGTCCAGTCAGCAAAAACTGGAACTTTGTGGTAGTCGCGTCCTGCGTTCTGCGTCCTGGGAGTCATAATATTTGGGTCACTTGGCAGCCGAGCATTGTTAATTATTCTGGTCACATCTGTTATGTAAACTACGTTCAAAGCATAAAAAAAACGCGCAAAGACAAACCCCAAAGACAAACTGAGTTCGCCTACTCATGCGCTGTAGGAATTAAAAAGTTCCGAAATCGCGTTAAATGGACACCCGAAATTCGAATGCTACCAAATGCCTTTTTCAGCTCTCCTTTTATTTTAAAGGGTTCTCCGCAGCAGCAGCAAAAATCGTACTCAGAGCAAAAACAAATATGTACCACGTAAATTTTTAAAATATTTCAGTGCAATTTTTTTTGTGTCGAGCTCGAAGGAAAACACCTATTAATGTATTTTACATGAGATGCGAGCGCACCCAAAATACGAAATCACGGGGCAACCACAGTGGGCCAAACATACAAGTTCTTCAACAAAACTTGATTAAATATTTCAGTACTCCAAGTTTAACCACAGTCAACAAACCTTAGTTTTCAGTTCGTGAGATATTTTATGCCCTTTGATCTATTATTGCCTGAATCAACCGAATAGAAAATGTAAGCATTGTTCTGACCACATTCAGACGTGACTGGATTGATTTCTGGAAAGGTTTCCAAATTAAAAAAGACTAAAAATTGACTATCACTTTACCCTCGCATCGAATCCTTTCGCAACCCCATATAATAAATAATGTCAGACATCAAATGAATATGCACAGTACCATCCTTCTGTTCTCTTGTAACTTAACTGTTTCAGCCTAATGTCTACATGTATCACCCCACGTTTCTCTATTTCAGAATTTGCCAAATATATAGGAATCTGATAACGCTTACCAGCCTTTATTCCAGATGGGATGCAACTTTGGTTACCAATAATCTACGTTATTCGATCCTGTAATCCCAAGTATATTGTTGGATCCGAAAAAAGGAACACTCTATCATTTAGCGCAAAATTGTTTTCAATAACCAATCCAAACTTTTAACTATTCCCCACGCAAGGCACTGGCATGTAAAACACATTTGCGCATTGTCGATTCAATTGCTCAACAATTCCCAAAATGAGCTGCTCAACATTCGGTTGCTGACGACCACGACGAAAAACACACACAGGATATGTACGGTGCGCCTTATAGCAAGTAAATACATTTCGCACTTTATCATATTGATATTGTATTACAAATTTATATTTACTAAATAGTTGTTAATTTTGTTTTGTTTGTGGAAAGCGCACAGCAGCTCCAGCCAACGAAATGCCAACAGAGGAAGAAAAGCGTCTACTTCAACTTCTTCTTGGGACGCAAGTTGTTGGTGTGTCCACACTTCTTCTTGCGGCAGTTGGTTGCACGTGGGTGCAGACGAGCGTAGCACTTGCGGCAGATCATTTTGTCGCAGTTGTACTTCTGGGCGAGAATGCGAAGCGAGGGCTCAATAATGCCACCACGCAGACGGAGCACCAAGTGCAAAGTGGACTCCTTCTGAATGTTGTAGTCGGACAGAGTGCGTCCATCCTCCAGCTGCTTGCCGGCGAAGATCAAACGCTGCTGATCTGGTGGGATTCCCTCTTTGTCCTGGATCTTGGCCTTGACATTCTCGATGGTGTCAGAGGGCTCGACCTCCAAGGTAATGGTCTTGCCGGTGAGAGTTTTAACGAAGATTTGCATTTTGTAACTGTTTCTGCAAACGCAAGATATTTTTACATTAGAATTAAATCAAATGCTTTCACGGTAACTCGAAAGCATCACATTTCTATTTTGCCGATTTGTGGGGCGACGTCGTCTCACGCTTGAAGACTTTAGGTTAGGTTCGTCGTGGTAACAAGTGGCGAACAGTTTGGCATTCATTTCAGCCATCCGGTGATGTGCAAATGGAATACCGTTACACATTTAGTTGTTTTAGACAATGCGCAAACAGACAATGCAACGCTTTCAAGTTTAAGTATTTCTTTTTACTTAATTACAGCAACTTACCAAGAGAAACGTGCAGCCAAATGCTTATTCACAAACGAAAAGAGTGTGTACACTCAAATTAGTAAACAGCACAACACTGACACGACTGTTGTATCAATCAGCTTTTGAGTGAGGGTGATAAAACTATCGATATTTCGTTTTTATATTTCAAAAAACCTTGAAAATGTTACTCTTTTAAGACATTCCTTGCTGATTAATAGTTTAATGTGTTTATTATGATTGTTTATTTATGTGAAAATTATTATTATTATATGTTGTTCTTAAGCGTTGGCATGACGTGGTACTCGATCAGCTGTTATATATCGGTTCTGAATCCCTTAGAAATCTAACATAACTTAAAAAATGTTAATGTCATCGTGATGTGAAATAACATTTATAGCTCAGACTTTAATTATTTTCTCAATGTTATTAGCAGCTGGGCATTTATTCTGGCCCTCGCTGCTATTCTGTTAAATAACATTTTCAGTTCAACAAAATCTAGGCAACCACAGGAAAGTTGTGTAAAAAAACGTGTATTTATTTCTATTAAGTACACGTACACAACATGTCAGACAACGATGGCCTTTTGCCGGCAGCTGCAGCAGCACCGGTAAGTTAATCAAACGCGATTTTAATGTTCTTTCGCGATTCGATCTGATTCTATTCCAAAATGCAGGCCGTTGGTGATGAGGGTCAGCAGCAGCAGCAGAACCAGCCGACGCGCATGGAGTCTTTTTTTGCAATGACAAAGTCGTTGATTCTGCGGGCTTTAATTATTTACTTCGTCAGTTCCTTCTTCCGGCGGCCCCAGCCGAATGCGACGCAAGACCAAGCCGTTGCCAATGCGGGTCCGAAAATAACAGCTTGGAACTATTTTGAGAATGGCACAGATTTCGATTTGCACATTTGGCTATCGGAGCAGCCGGATGTGGTGAACTTCCAGCAGAAGAACAATCTTCTGTGGCTGCAAGAAGACCTCACCTACGGGGATTGGGTCTCGGGTCCCACAGGCAACGGCATCTACACACACAATGTCAAAATCAAGGCCAGTCCGCATCTGCTAAACAATGGCAGCGTCTACTTACACGCCTTCGTCACACGTGCAGGTGAAAGTCCAGATCCTCAGTCCCCCAAATACTCAAAGCACGGCCACATGGGCCATCAACAGCATCAGCTGAACAAGTTCAAGAAGCTGCGGGTGAATCGAAACTACAATTTGCTTGCCAGCGAAAAGGAGAAGTTGGAGCACGAGCTGAAGCATGCCAACCTCAAAGATCAGATCGTGTCGCACTGGCACTCCAACCTGACCATCAACTTGGTCGTGGATCAGACGAACTGGGCACAAGGCAGCGTGCCCGCGCCGCTCGATGAGTATGTGAAATTTGTGGATGGGGGAAAGACGTATCTGCCGATTGTCTTTGTCAACGACTACTGGAACCTGCAGCGCGATTACTTTCCGATTAACGAGTCCACGCCAGAGCTGGATCTGCACTTGACCTTCCAGCCGCTGGGAATGTTCAAGTGGCAGCTGTATGCCGCTAAGCAGATGAAGAGCAAGTGGGCCGGCAACGTGCTGGGCGAGATAATGGCAGCCAGTGCTCCGGAGGAGACAGACGAGGACCAGGACTCGCTGAAGGAAACTCTGCTGGACACCAACATCTACCTGTTAGGCATCACCGTGGCAGTCTCCATCCTGCACTCGGTGTTCGAGCTGCTCGCCTTCAAGAACGACATCCAGTTCTGGAACAATCGGCAGTCGCTGGAGGGTCTCTCTGTGCGGTCGGTGTTTTTCGGTGTATTCCAGTCCCTGATCATTCTGCTGTATGTGCTGGACAACGAGACCAACTTCATGATACGGATCTCCTGCTTCATAGGTCTCGGCATTGAGGTGTGGAAAATACACAAGGTCGTCGACGTCAACTACAACAACCAGCAGAAGGTACTGGGCATATTCCCACGCATCAGCTTCAAGGACAAGGGCTCGTACTCGGAGAGCTCGACCAAGGAGTACGACAAACTGGCGTTCAAGTACCTGGGCTGGGCCTGCTTTCCCCTGCTGGTGGGGTACTTTATCTACTCCCTGCTGTACAACGAGCACAAAGGCTGGTATTCGTTCGTGCTCAACATGCTGTACAGCTATCTGCTGACCTTTGGATTCATCCTAATGACGCCCCAGCTGTTCATCAACTACAAGCTGAAGTCGGTCGCCCACTTGCCGTGGCGCATGATGACATACAAATTCCTCAACACTTTCATCGATGACATTTTCGCCTTCGTCATCAAGATGCCCACCATGTACCGCATCGGCTGCTTCCGGGACGACATCATCTTCTTCGTTTTCCTCTACCAGCGCTGGCAGTATCGTGTGGACCTAAAGCGCGTAAACGAGTTCGGATTCTCCGGCGAGATGGAGGAGCAGGCTGCCAACAAGCGGCTTGAAGGAGAGGCAAACGCCAATCGGCCAGCTGGTGCCATAGAGGCATCCCAGGGCGCGGAAGCCACCAAAGCAGCGGCGAATGCGACGCCCACCAAAAAGACAGCCGCACAAAAGAAACAGGACTAGATAGCCACTGGCAGTGCGTCCAACCCGAGAGATATGCATTAGAACAATTTTCACGGCAGTTATATACACACATATTACTTGTCTGTGTGCGTGAGCTACGCACCATTATAAGCAAAAAATTCAGTTTCAGTATACATATAGTCAAGCGGTCGGTCGACCGTCGTAGTTACGAACATATTCTAGCGGTAATTTAATATATGTATGTGTCTTTTATTTGTTTCCTGGACCAGCAGCCGTGGTCCTTAGCATCGGCTACTGAAATAAATTCAGTGTGAGTGAACTAACGCATCTTATCGCTTCTTATCTGGGCTGCTTATCACCCTCCATCTGGAGATGCAACACGTGATTGAGCCACTCACGTAACAGTTAACTAGGTCATTTATGGCTAAGAAGAGAAACAGTTGCTCAGGGTCGGGGTCAATGAGGGCAAAATACTTGGAAATTAAGTATTTCCCCTTATTATTTGTATATGTAAATTAATTTAATTTAATTTACAAAATGATACATAATTGCATTTGGCGTCTGGGCTATCCATATAAATTTCGAAATATTCAAATTTTGCCGCACTCTAGTGCTGTTAAATATCGGATATCGCTTGCGCATTTCACAGCACTGTCGACCTGTCGCTATCTAGCACTGTTTTCTGTTGAAGAGAAGAAAATAAACCTAAACAGAGAAGCGTAAAACAAAAATAAATTAAATTCTGTGCAGTTGAACTGATTCACCAGTGATAAATCAACTGCAATCAAATTATAGCACAACTAATCAGCGCAGAGCAAGAGATTCCTCAGACTGGAATGAGTCAAGCTTCCACTCTGCTCGACTAGCCGCAGCTGCAGCAAAGGTGAAAATTCTGTGTGCGTGAGCAAAGCAAACTCTGAAAAAATGTACTCTGAGTGGGCTTCGCTGTCGGCGCAGATCAATGCCAACAGTTGTGGTGCGCAATGCTTCAGTGTTTTGAACAAGTTTCCAGCATCCGCTGGTCGAGAAGTGGTGATGTCGGTGGTGAAGCAACTGGGCACCAATTTGGGCATCACGCAGAATGCGGAGCCCAGTCACCTGGTCAAGGATGAGGAGGTTTGTTTGTTGCTGATGATTTCTCTACTATTCGTGAAACCAATGTTAAGCTACTTACAAATAGGTCAGATGGTGCATGGACGTCATTTGCTTTGGGCTCTCGTTGCCCTTGCAGGAGCACGAGACCATCAAGGATTGCGTCAACGTCTACTGCGAGTGGCTGACCGCGCTACACCCGCAGCCACGCATCAGCGTGCCCAAACCCATTTGCGAGGATGCGAATCTTTACGCAAGGCAGATCATAAATCACTTCCACAATCTGTTCGTTCCGCGGCAGGGAGAAAGTAAGTACCATTAGCCCCATAAATGATGTCACCCCTTTTAGCTGCTTTTGAGCCACATTCACACACGACGACGATTTGTAATTATTACATTCTAAATTTCAAGTCTTGCCATTTTTATACCAAACGAAGCTTGGTAGGTGCTCTCTCTCTCTTTGTTTACTCTCCAAAAATCTGACTGCTGCGCTAATGCTCACTATCGTTTCTTATAGGCTCCGACACGATCAAGCGCCAGGCCGTGCTCTGTCACCGAGTTCTGCGCACTCTCCAGCAGACGGCGCAGATTTCGCAGCAGATGGACCGAGAGACCTGGGAGACGCTGCTGCTCTTTCTGCTGGCAATTAATGAGATTCTGCTGGCCCCGCCCACCGTCAAGGACGATGTGGGCGACCAGCTGTGTGAACGTGTGCTCTCTGTGCTCTTCGAGGTTTGGCTCTTGGCCTGCGTGCGCTGCTTTCCATCTCCGTCGCTCTGGAAGACCCTGCAGGAGTCGTGCGCCATGTGGCGCCATCGCATTGCCCTTGTGGATCAGTGGAATCGAGTAAATCTGGCACTAACCGCGCGGTTATTAGAGTTCAGCTATGGTCCAGATTTTACACAGCTTAAGAATGGTGAGCGACAGCACCGGTAATTAATTTTAGAAAATTAAAAAAATGTCTCCTTTTCCTTTTCTACTTGGTGTAGCTGAAGAGGATAGTCAGCTCATTCCTGCGGGCATGTCCAACGACTGCGTGGCGCAGACCTGGTATCGCTTCTTGCGCATGATTGGCAACCCCACAGCTCTGTGCTCGCCGCACATCATTAGCAAGTCGTCGCACTTTGTTCAATGGGCTCTCACACACGAGAAGGGGGCCGAGACTCATCAGCATCCGTGCCTGCAGGTTCTGCCGCAAATTTTTCTGAATGCGATCCGCGGGATTTCCAGTCAGGTCGATGCCTTTCTTGGTAAGATATGCTGTGAAAGACATTGTTCGGGTCTCTTGTAAATGTGGGATACTGCTCTAGCTCGAATAGTTATTATATCGCTTTTATAACCATCCTCGAACCGAAACGCAGGCATTTATCAGGCACCGCCTAGCCAACAGGAGAACGTCGTTACGAATCTGCTTGAGATCCGCCACTCTTTAAACGAGGCTACTTCATCCACGCTCCAACAGTTCATCCACTCGAGTAGCGCCTCGAACATTAGCATGCAGCAATCGGGGTCAG